CTTTTTGTAGAAGGTAAGGTAATCATAGTAATGATGTTTAGAGAAATATTCTCACCACCGTCTCATTGAGCAGCAAGCTCTCCCCCTTTGGTGCTTAGCCACGTTGATTAGCAAACCTCCATCAGTGGGTGGCTGGCGGGTGCTCTGGTGTGGTTGGCTTCTTCTTTCTTATCAAACATCTATCGTCCTTATCTCCCCTGCATCTTTTTTATATTTGCTACTCTTCTGGCGCTCATATGACTTTATGCAGGACCGTGTCCTGTGGATGTTGATGTCATAAATAACCCCCCCACCCCCACCCCCCCTGTATCTTCCTCAGTGCCAGACAACCGTGTCCTGTGGATGTTGATGAACCTGGAGTCTCAGATGGAGACTCTGAGCGCCAACACTGACCTTGCCCTGGACTCAGAGGTCAAGTTCATGGCTGCAGCCTCTGACCTGGCTGACCGGGAGCTTGTCTTGACCATCAGCTGGGCCAAACAGGTGCCAGGTGAGTGGCTGTTGTCTGTCTGTTGTCTCCTCATCTTCCTCTTCTCCGTCTCCCTTTCTCCCCATCTTCCCGTCTCCTTTTCTCCCTGTCTCCCCTCTCCCCATCTTCCCGTCTCCCTTTCTCCCCATCTTCCCGTCTCCTTTTCTCCCCATCTTCCCGTCTCCCTTTCTCCCCATCTTCCCGTCTCCCTTTCTCCCCATCTTCCCGTCTCCTTTTCTCCCTGTCTCCCCTCTCCCCATCTTCCCGTCTCCCTTTCTCCCTGTCTCCCCTTTCCCCATCTTCCCGTCTCTCTTTCTCCCTGTCTCCCTTCTCCCCTCTCACCATCTCCCATTCTCCCTGTCTCCCCTCTCCCCATCTTCCCGTCTCCCTTTCTCCCTGTCTCCCCTTTCCCCATCTTCCCATCTCCCTGTCTTCCTTTCTCCCTGTCTCCCCTCTCCCCATCTTCCCGTCTCCCTGTCTTCCCATCTCCTTTTCTCCCCGTCTCCACATATGCTTATCTCCCTATCTCCTTGTCTATCCATCTTTCCATCCTCCTATCTCCTTGTCTATCCATCTTTCCATCCTCCTATCTCCTTGTCTATCCATCTTTCCATCTCCCTATCTCCTCTCCTTGTCTATCCATCTTTCCATCTTCCTGTCTTCCCTTTTCCATCTCCCTATCTCCTTGTCGCTCCATCATTCAGTCTTAGTATGTGAAGTTATATTTTGTATTTTCATGTCTATGCAATTTCTTAACGGATTTCTGTTTCTCTCCCCCCCCCCTCACATGCATCCCTTGTCTGCCCACGCACCCTCTATTTCTATCCCTCTCCTCTCCCTTATCCCTCCTCTCCCCGGTATCCCACCTCCCTCCCCCCACCCCCCTCGGTGGCGTGTGCGGTGTACGGTGTTGCAGGATTCTCCAGCCTGTCGCTGGTCGACCAGATGATGCTGCTCCAACACTCGTGGCTAGAGATCCTCATGCTGAGCCTGGTGTTCCGCTCGTGTCCGTACAAAGGTCACATCTGCTACGCCGAGGACCTGCAGGTGGCCGAGGACGTGGTGGACACGCTCAAGATCCCCGCGGAGCTGGATAGTCTGACCAGGAAACTCTGCCGCAAGTTCACGCACATGAACGTGAGCAAAGAGGAGTTTGTGCTGCTCAAGGCTATCACACTGTGTAATATTGGTGAGTACTGTGTGCGGGTGGGGGGGTGGTGGTGTGAGTGTGTGTGGTATGTGGTGTGTGAGTGTGCAGTGGTGTGTGCCTGTGTGTGTGTGGTGTGGGTGTGTCTGGTAGTGTGTGTGCCTGTGTGTGTGTGGTGTGGGTGTGTCTGGTAGTGGGTGTGTGATGTGTGTGTGGGTGTGTAGTGGTGTGTGTGTGTGTGGGGAGGGGGTGGGAGGTGGGTGGTTTTCTGACCGCTATAGCTGTTGTTTTTCTAAACTATTGATTTTTTAATAGATTTTTGAGACGAGTCAATGAAGGACATTTAATGGAGTTTATGTATGTGTGGAGAAATTCTGATTCCCTCTCACAACTCTCTCTCATCTGTGT